AAAAAAGCGATAGGGAAGATTTTCGGAAATACCGACCGATATGCCTGCTGAGCGTGCTTTACAAGCTCTTCACAAAGATTCTTGTGCGCATATCAAGAACACTGGATGAAGCCAACGTGTAGAACAAGCTGGATTTTGCAAGGGATTCAGCTGTGTGGATCACATCCAGAGAGTTTCGAGGATTATGGAGTCAGCCGAGAGTACCGCCTTCCTCTCGTCCTGGCCTTCGTCAACAATGAGAAAGGTGACGGCGTCGAAACTAACGCCATACTGTCAGCGCTCGTCGACCAAGAGGTGGACTCATCTTTTGTGAGGACATTGGCCGGCTGCTACAAGAACTGCTCTGTAACGGTACAACTTTTCCATCGCCCCTTAACATAGCAGTTTCGAAGGGGGTTCGACAAATTGACACATCGCCAAAGCTGTTGCCGCGTTGCAGTGGGTGATGAAATCATTGGGTTGGAGCGAGATATACAAGATGATGGGAGATTCCTCTCGATTTTTTGGACGACAATGTTTTCTTTTCGAGGGAATCACTGAAGCGGAGACGACGTTGAAGGTACTAAACAAGTAGGGAAGAGGACAGACTGCGAATTAATTGGAAGAAGAAGACTCAGTTTATGAACAGCGCTTTCTGCGAAGATCAGGCAATGGAATTAGAAGGCTCTCCAGTGGAGAGGTCTATATATCTCGGTTCGATGAACATAGAGAACGATCTGAAAGAAGAACTAAACAAGGCGAAGAGCAGCTTGGGCTGCCTTCGGGCCCTTAAGGGAAGCCACAGACTAACTGACGGACCCAGAGCTTTGAGCCCAATTGTTCGTCAATCGGCCTTCCTACGCTCTGTTACGCAGCAGAGACGTGGCCTGACACTGTGGCTACGTCGAGAGCACTCCGAACAACCCACAGAGCGCTGGAACGACGTCTTCTGAACAATCGGGGCACCCATCATCTCGTCGGACTTCGCAGTTCGGATATGAGACCAATGTCCCGTTTTCGCGATCCAGCGGTATACGTCTTTAAGGTAAAACATTGTTGGGGGAGAGGAACAGACGACAGATGGGCACTAAGAACTTTGGAATGGATCCCTCGTGAAGCAATACGTCCTCGAGGGAGGGCAGCAACTAGATGGGCTGACGTTCGTGGCACAGATGGACCAGCTGAATTCTCAGCTGATAATGAGTAATGGATCTGGATCTTGCGAACGTCGCTGCTTTAATAGAACATCATCGTGTATGACGCTAGCGAGAGACAGAAACGGATGGAAACAATGCTGGAACCTGCACGACGAGTGAAGATAGGCCATCCTGGTAAGTAAACACTCAATTATGAGGAACAAAAAAAGCGTTTGCGTCTGATCGGAGACCTCTCGAGAGTCTCCTCCGGAGACATTTTTTTATTTTCATAGGTTTTTGAATT